AAGACAATCTTCCAAAAAATAGGAAGTTTGGAGTTAAAAAATAAAAACAAAGAATAATTCTCTGTAATGCCCAGCTTCTCTGCACAGTCAAGTGAAAACTGCCAACTTCAGGTAAAACCAATCCTGGAACTTCCACTCCCACAATAAATGATATACTTAATTCTGTGTTTATGTGTGTGTACAGCAGCATTCATAGGAGTTCATGACTTTTTATCAGAATGAAGAAAGAAAAATTACAATGTTGCACTGCAAATTCAACCCCATTTTAGCATCTGTGTGATATCATGACAGGTAGAAAAAAGGTAGGCTTTGTAGCACAATGCAGTGACACTGCTGGCATTGATCTGACTCATCTTGCCCCCCCACACCATGGGTGCTCTGTGTGAATACACTGGCCAGATGTCACACTCCAGGCAGGAAAACTAGGGACAAAAATATTTATCTTAATATTAAGTGAACTAATAATGATTAAAGTAAAATGTATTTAAAGTAAGATGCCTCATTTGTAAAATTAATTGCTCCCCAATCTGCCTATACACACAAAAACCATTTCTTCTCCCACACAAACATATATACAAGTATACATACACACATCTGTATTATTCCAACAAAAATAGTAAAGAAAAAGAAAAAACAGGATGGCAACTGGAAAGAGTAGCTGCATTGGGAAGGGAAGAGAAAGGAGGGGAATAAAATGAAACGGGGATGAGACTGAACAGGGGGAAAAAAGAAGAGAAACTGGAACTCAATGGCCTTCACTCCCATATAAATATTATTAGAATGTCTAGGTTCATTCCAATATTATAATCACGTGCAACAGTCTATTACAGTTCAAGGAGTACTAACCCCACAGCTTTTCTTTGTCCCCCTATCTGTAGAGGATGAGTGTCAGTAATGAAGCAGGAGAGGAACAGAACCAGTAAGCATGGAACCAAGCTTCTGTATGAGCAGTGAAAGACCAAATGCAGTCCCACCACTCCTGACACTGATACAGAAACTACAACCTGAAACTAGATGTGTGGTCCTCCAGTCCCTGAGAATGCAGGCAGCATCTGATTGAGAACCATTAGGTATAAGAATAGGCAATATAGAAGCTTCACAGAAACAGATTCTAGAAAATTGGGGATGTTTAGCTTCAACTGCATCGAAGTGGAGAGAGCAGACATGTGCTTAAGACTGCCTCAGATATCAAATTCATTACTAGAAAAATTCAGTGACAACCTTATCTTGAAGCTCTGTACCTTATTTGAATGTGAATTCCTTAATCTCTGGACAGGAACCATTGAACCCTGATACTATATATGGGTTGCTTGCTGGAACCATGATACTTAGTCTGACTTGAACATGGCTACTGTCTGATTCTTTACAACTCATAATGAAAGGCTAAGAACTGATTTACTGTTTTACAGCCAAGTACAATACTAGACAGTCTTAACTTACAACTACTCTCTTTATTCACTGTGGTATTGTTAGGGTGTGAGAACCTATTCCAGTCAAAGCAAATGGCAGGTTGGAGATGCTAACATAAAGAAATAAAATAGCCTATGATCAAACTATATAATTAAGAGCATAATGATGCAAACTCAGTTAAATCAGTTTGTACCCAAAACATCATCTGCCTCATTCCACCATGCTGGAAATGCCTGTTCCTCCACTTGAAAGATATTGTGGAAATCCAGAAACCTTCATAACACCCCAAGCATAAAGCACTTTGTTTCTTTAACTATGCGATTAGGAATTTCCAGATGATCACTCACAGGTCAGATGGCAGATTAATTTATTTAATGATTTAGCTTTGATTCCAAACTGTGCTGGTGTCACAAGAAAAATGTGTTCACTATCTGAAAGTTGATACTGCCAACAGATGCATGAGACATCTATGCAAAGAGCAGAGGCCTAGGTCAAATGTATTAGTGAGTTTAGACTGGTAACTCAATATCTGACATGTAGTTAGTCCACATTAATGGACCACTTTCAAGTAGGCTTGACTGACAAGATCCTGAATGAACAAGCAAAAATAGAAAAGCCACTCATGCCTCAAGCTTTTGCGCAACTTGATGCATCAATGAATGGTTGAAAAGCTGGAGAGCTTAGTTGACAACAGCAGTGGTCATATTTTTGTCTTTTGGGAATAAGAAACAGGGTCTAGC